CTGAAAATTTCAGCTGAAAAAAATATTTCCTTCCCGAGATATTTAAGTCCCAAAAATGACTCAAATACTACAAAAGATGCTAGAATTTTCTGTTTTTTGAGACTGAAATATCTCGGGAAGGAAACACTCTTTTCAACTAAAATTTTCAGGGTATTCTACTCATAAATAGACCTGCCTGTGGGCAAAATCTCAGGTCGAAATACCGTCATTCGATTTATTGGTATATACCATGCCATAGGCTAAAATTCTGGTAAAATGCCATTAACTTTGGACAGAAGGCCTAAGGGGATTTAATCTTTTGAGGTTTTTCATACCTCACGGGGGTCTATCTTTTACACAAAGTCCGAACTCAAAAGGGATTGGACAGTTGGCGATGTTCCCTCGTTAGTGAATGTTATATGTGAACATCGTTTTTTTTCTCGAATGGTGAAAACTCCGAAAGCCTATATCTTGTTCCTATCAAAATTTATTCGGGTTACTTGAAAATTATGCATGCACCAGTACCAGTTCCACTGGATGATCCCCGGAGATTGGTACCAATCGATTCGCAGTACCGAGATTGTTCATTCTGACAAGGACTCAGTCCATTTGGATTCCTACCCCGTGCCACTGGGTATCCTCCAGTCGTGAACTGGCACTGGTGCATCCCTACGTGAAATATAGTAAATGAAAAAAAAATGTTATCATATATTGTGGAGAAACAACATTAGCTAAAGCCATAGCAAATGGTAATTCTCCTTTATCTTCAATCATTGTAACAAGTTCTACCAATCGTTCAAAATGATCAGCAAGAACAGTTTCAGCTAATGTATCAAATTCAGTTCCTTGTTGAAGAATTTTTGTTAAAACTTCCATAAAAGCTGCACGAGTTTGTGGATCACGATGATAACCAAGTGCTAAGAAAAAGAAAAGAAAAAGAAAAAGAAAAATCTCATTCTCATATAAAAAAAGAAAATCTGATTGTCTTACCAATACTTCTCATAAGACCACTTTCAATATTAGCTGTAAGTAAATTTGACATAGCAACAATAGTTGAATTTCTTAATGATTGTTGTTTTTGTTGTAATTGATTAATAAATTGTGTTTGATTATTTATATTTGTTGTTGTTCGTTCATTATTTGTTTGATGATGATAATCCGATAAAGAATTTTGATCATCATTTAAATCATTACTACAATCATTTAATAAATTCATAAATAAAGTAAAATATTTAAGAAATAATTGTGATTTAGCTTCCATTAAATCCCCTCGATCACTTTCTTCAGGTTGTAATGGTAATGAATGAAGTAATGATGCAACAGCTTCCATTGATACTTGATCTAATTCACGTGTTAAATGTTGATATTGATCAACAACTAATTGTGATGTTGTTACATTAACACCAACACCAACACCAACACCAACTGCTGTTTGACCTAATACATGAACCTAAATTTTAAAAAATAAAAATAAAAAAAAATAATTTCTCTCGCAAGATTTTACTTGATTAAATTGATGTGAATTTCCCATAATTCAATCATTTAAATATTCCACAAGTTTATTACGAAATTTAATTTCTTGTCTAAATGATAAATCATCTCGTCTTTTAATCATTGATTCAACAAGTTGACAAACACGTGTTCGTATTGCAACAGCTCCAACACTTGTATCTAAATGTCGTGCATAACGAACAATATTTAATACAAGTTGTTCTAATATATTAACATTAGCTAATGGATTTTCATTTATTTGTTGTGGTCCACCATGTCCACTTGTACTTGGAGAATTTGAACTTGGATCATTTGATGATCCACCAACAACAGATGGTGATGAATTTTGTATTATTACTTGGTACAACTAATGTATTTGTTGATCCAGTTGTTGTTGTTGTTGGATCTTCTAATGAATTTTGTACATATTGTTGTGATTTCATTTCAAATAGAGAACGCATTATAACAATAACATTATCAATAAATTGTGTAATTTGTTCCGAACAAATAACTTGACCATTTGAATAAAAAAATTTATCAACTTGAATTTTAATTTGATCAAATAATATTGGATAACATAATGGATTTAATTCGTAACCAAGGAAATCTTATATATGACGTTAAATTTGTAAACCAAATTTTTCATTTTGGCAAATTAAATATTTTAAACAATCACCAATAAATCTGTTCATTTAAATAGAAAATTAAAATTAATTAATAAATTCTAAAAAAACTTTTTACCCTGTTACTGGACAATAATGAAGATCAGATGTAACTGGTTCCATTGATGTACGTCGAGTATCAGCAGGAATTCCATGTTGACTAAATAAATCAAATTTTTATTTTTTTTAAATTCTTCTAGAATTAATATTTACCCAGGTCAGTTTTAACTGGTAACCAAACGCTTCCAAGTGCACATAAAAATCCAGTCATATTTGCCCATTCATGAAAAACATCCCAAAAAAAATATTTTCTTTTGTGTGTATTATTTTTAATAATAAACAAACTTCAATTTCATGTTCACTTAAATGAACACCAGCTCGTCTTTTACCAAATCTTGGCATAATCACCACCAGCTAATGAACCTGTTTCACTTCCACTAACTGTTGATGAACCTGTTGTTGAACCTCCACTTTCTAAATCATCGACTCGTTTTGGATAAACAGCCGAAAATTTTGCTAAATGTTGTTGACTAACAAATGTATCATACCAAGCTTGTTTATTTCCCGGTGTTGCATATTCAATACGTCTTAAAATTGAAAGAATTTTTTTTGTAATGCATTTCTACCCAATGTAACTAATATTGTTGATGTTGATGATAATTCCATATAAATATTATAATTAGGTAATAATGATAATAGAACTCTTTGATCAAAACAAAAACGTATATATCAGGCTTCATATTTAAATAAGGCAAAACATAACACAGCAATTATTAAGAATTTCAGAATCAATTGACCATAAATAGATAAACAAATGCTATTTCAACTTTTGTTATCTAGATGTTTTGCCATTGAAATATTTTAACCAAAATATGCATTATCGTTAGGATGTAATAAAAATGGATTACGTTAAACAAGAATTTCTCTTAACCATCTTAATAGAGATGTACATTAATATATTTTATATAAAACTAACTTTTGTAATATTGAAAAAAAGTACTTGACTTTATATTGACCAAAAAATGTATTTATTGATGCTTGACGATTCCATAATTGAATATTTTATTTTTCATGTAATACTAATAATGATTCAATTGTTGCATGTGCAATATCTCCCATAATTTATGTATCATGTACAAAGTAATGCAAGATCATTTATTAATTTAAATATTGACATTTTAAGTTTCATGATCAAATTTATTTCGATTATGTAAAATAAAATATGGATCAAAAATAATTAAATGTACAATTCATAAAATTAATTCACAATTATTTGGTCGTTCATCATAAGTTAAACGATCAGATATTTTTTATGTAAATGATTGAGAATATGTTAAACGTAATTGTTATAGATTAAATAAAAATAAAATATATTTTAATGTACTAACATCTTTTACATTTTATATTCTTAATGATGTTGTGGAAAATGTTGATGATTGTAATACATTATTTAATGTATCTGTAAACATATTTTGTAATTCATCAGCACGTCAATAAATAATATCAATTTGTGGCCACCAAGGTAAATGGTTTTTTTGTGTTATTATTCTATAAATTACTTTAACAATTACATAATGAAACATAGCTAGTGATAATAAATTTAAACAAACTTTTAATATTTCATTATTATGTGAATTTAAACGAAGACAAGAAAGAAAAAATTCAATCATTAATTTTAAATCAACATTTATTTTATCTTGTCGACGTGAAAATAGTTTTAATGGATTAAATAATATTTGTTTTAAATCACTAATAACTGATTCAACCAAAATAAATAAAATATCATTAAGAATCTTTATTTTTACTATNACAAAATGACGACTTGACATATGTACGCCTAGCTAGAATTAATTAAAGAAAAAAACCTCGTGACGCCATACGATAAAGTGCTTAGCATCTTAATTACTTCAGTTAGCATGGCAAGTCAACATGTCTGTCTGAAAAGTATCGATCAGATGAATGGCCCATGGGCATCCATGGGCGGGCCGGTTTTTTTAGAAAAAAACATGGGCTGGGCTGGGCCGAGGTTGATAGCCCATGGGCTGGTTTTTATTGGCCCAACCCGGCCCATTGAGACCTCTGATTTGTATTTACTCGATAACAATCTCTGTTTATCTCACACGTGTCCTTCTTTTATGTTTGAGTTCTATAATTTTTCTTTTTCTTTCGTCTATGAAACGAGTACTTGTCAAAATAAGCTTCAAAAGTTAAGACGTCGTATCAGGGTCGTTCTGTATTCATCATAGATAGTCGATCAATTAAGACCAATATACATTATGAAGATATGTAAACTTTCTGAATAATTCTGCTTTTTAAATAACAGTCTTGTTTGTAAGTACTAAATAATTCTATTTTTCTCTGTTACTCTGCTACGCATTTTGCATATAAAAAAGTATTTTCTGTAAACTTCATTATTGAAACCGACGCACAATAGGTTACATAAAATTAACTTTTATTTTATTACTGGAAGTAACTCAACAGTTCATATGTTTTGTTTTGAATAAATCTTCAATATATATACTAACGAGTGAATTCCTCGAAGTAATTCCTCGCTTTTTAGTTTACATTTTGGGCATATAGAGACAACTTCTAGATTAGATAACCCTAGAGGAACTGAACTCTATAGACTTTCTTTACTGAGTAACGAATATTATGAACTTGTGCCACATGATAAAGTGTTCCCAGAAAAAAAAGTAACAAATGGTTTGCAACTTGAAAGTTTGTCGTTATGCAGGTCTTATTCTGCTAACAATATCCTCAAAATTTTCAGTTGAAATCCTAAACTTCTTTCTTGAGCTATACAATGTTCAAAAACTAGTCAGACTCCGTGAACAATTAGAAACATCATGAGTTTTGAATGTTGAATATCTCAAAATTAGAAGTCACCGTTTGGGCTAAAAGTTTTTAGGGCAGTGTTAGGATAACTAGCTCTGCGTGTAGACAAGATTTCAGAACAGAAATAATTTACTGGATTGCTGTGACAATACTCTGTCTGATGGTAAAAACGACAACGAAACTCATAATTCTGTAGATAAGACTTATCGACTCCAGTCACTTTTGAGATTATTTACTCTAGACATTCTCTCGTAAGAAATGATTATACAGAAGTAGGTTCACTTTTCTCTTTTATATGTCTCATTCAAAAGAATCACCCTATGCCCATATTGCATTATTAAAACAAAGTAGCAAGATTGGCTTTTGTTACTCATTGTTAAACAAATACTTTCTTAAGGACAACGTAAGACAACAGAAATAGATTATTGTCGGTCAAAATATATACGAAGTGTATGGATATAATATTATTGATAGTGACGATATGTTACCTATCTTACGTTTAAGTACAATCTCTGTGGTTCTTATTATGTTGATACGCACACTTTAAAATGATCTTTTTATTGTTTCATATAGGAAATTGCAATAAATACTGACTATTTTTTCGGTTTAGAAAAATGGTTTTTATGTCTGATTCTTCAGTATTTTCATATCCGAAGTGTATACATAGCAATATTAGAAAAGAGAAAAAAAATGGAAAAAGTATACCGATTATACATACTCATAGTACACAAACAAAAATAAAATTAATTACAATAATCGAAAAATCAAGGAAAATGTTTTCTTTCTTTTGTGACGAATAATTGGGTTACTCTTGATATTTCTTATTGATTACACTACGCTGGGAGACCAGAGATGTTCATTAGATCTAATAATTTTTCTTCATATTTTTTCCTTTACAATATTTCTTACAAACAATGCTTCATTTAAAAACACTTACCTAAGAGCAGTAACATAAAGTTCAAAATACCACGAAAGAATATTTAATGAAACAAGAGGGAGGCAGACATATTCATTTACTTATAGGATGTTTGTCTTCGTCGCAATTTATTCTGTAGCTAAACTTGTGCGTATTTAAGTTTAAAATGAATTTAAATATTACACTGGTCACAATAGAATTCACTAAGTTTTAACTTACATCGATTTTGTTGTCGGGATGATTTTTAATCAACTTTAATTGTAATTCAATTTATAAATTTAACAAATGAACGTTAAAATGGGACGACAAAATAAATGACATCCCACAAGTCATTAGTTTCTGAACGATTAAATCCTTTCTCTCAAATTTTCAGCATCGCATTGTAAATTTTCTTGGGAGAGGTAGCTGTCTCTGTGCGGATAGTACATATCTCTGTTGGAGACCACAAGATTACAAAGCAATAAGGAGTATAATTTTCAATGCAATCTTATAAAATCATTGAGATATGCTAGTGGTAGAACATGCTTTTAGAATAAACTGTTGGTCGGTTTCGATAAAGCTTCATCGAATTCAAACCAACAAGCGAATTTCACGAAAGGATAATTATATTTATTTGATATTAAATTAGGAATGAAAGAAGAACAACGAAGAACTAACAAATATTAAAGTAATTCATGGAATGATACAACGTCTACTACCAAACATGTGTTTTTATTTGTTGTAGTTTTGTACTTATCTTTTTTTGTTAATATGGAGCTACTATTGAAATAATGTGTGCCATGTCTAAATGTAATTTCCGCTATTTCTACGTGTAACTTCACGATCTTGTCTCTGCTTTTTTAACAATACCATTAATAAAGTTCGCCATCATCTGATAACGTCTTCTTTTCTTTAGGTCGCAACATATAATCGTCATATTGTTATACTCGAATGAAGAGGATGAAATTTAATTTTTGTAACGCTAGATAATTAGTTTGTTTATTGATGAAAAAAAAATCATAAAAGAAAAGTTTTAATTAAAACTTCGTGTTTGCCTTTCTAAAAGCGGTGATAGATGAGTCTGATGAATGTACTAATGATACCAAAAACCACGAAGCGTTGCTGTCGGATAGATGATACACTATTGCATAAGTCTGAGTTACAACAACATGTCGATATTTTTCCAACTATCGGTGCATCCGCTGTAATACATTTGTTTTCACCTTGTGTACATTCGGTGACATTAGCGATAGCTCGACTAATGGTACCGCTAAATATTGTGACTTTCTTTGAAAAATATCCTTAGTCTTTATAGTGATGAATGAGAATACATACTACACATCGTTCGTTAGATTGTGCTGTGACTTTCCATTCATCTGTAGCCTGACCCTTTTTAAAAGGATCATTGCAGTCCGATTGAATAGCACTGTTACACCGATAGCATTGATAGGTTTCAGTACACCATATGTCTAGAAGAATTTTATCACTGAATAACTGTTCAATATTTATTCTATGATTAAAACTTACTGAGTGAACAAACAAGAGAGAAAAGAAGTAATTTCATAATTGAATAGTTGTTGAAATATTGCTATTAATCGACCAGCAAAAGCTGAAATGAATGAAAAAATGGATTAAATGTTTTCGTTACTCTTTCATACATATATTCATTATGGGAGCTTTTATATAATTCATTATTAGTTATCTCAACTTGCAATTCATTTGAACAATATTACGTCATTGAAAACAAAATTTTCTTTTTACATGAATTATGGTCATCTTTGGTTAGTTCTATATAATATTTGCTATCTATTTTTCTTATTGTATGAAAAGAATTGCTAAAGAATGATAGAGTATTGAAGAATAATTTAATAAATAAGTTATGTGCAATAACGTTGATTTTTCGTTAAATAAAGTTTGTCATATCAATTCATTTAAAACAATTCACTGAATACGTAACAAGCTATGTCTTCAAACTTTTCTCATGTACTTTTGTCTCTCTTTGATTTATGGGTAATTCTAAGAACATAAGCATGATTGAGAGACTTTTCTTCCCCCACAAACGAACATACACAGTCTCAGAAAAGCTTGTTTTTCGAATATTCTATGCCTAGTTAACTGAGTGTAACTTCAACTAAATTCAAAATAATATTTTTTGAAGCTGTTCATCTTCTCTATCGATTGATATATGAACTAACTCTTTTTAGGACTCATAATTGTAAGACATTGATTATATCGTAGATTTTTCGAAAAATGCTTAGTTATGTTCGAAGGACAAAAATGTTGGACTTGGATCACTTGAAAGAAACATGTTTAAGGCAAGATGTGTTTGCTTCCGTTCTGTTTTAAGATGCTCTATCGATTCAGAAAACAAAGGAAAAAAAAGTAAAATTTGATAGGAATGTACAATTTCAAAAATTATCGATTCTACCGCAAGCCCTCTTTATCATCCATTTTATGCTATTGACGATCATTAGTTTTTCGTCGTTTAGTATTCACAATCAATGGTTATATTGATTTGAATGATTCGATGTGATAACATATTGGTGAGATAAACCGTATAGTTTTCTGTAACCAAAGCGTCGAGGTCACAGTCATCCATCCATCATCATACAATTACCATTGTTTGATGATGGTATAGTTTATTCGTGAAGCAAGAGTGTTTCTGCCCTTTATGCACTACTATTACTACTATTTCCTGTATAAGAATAGATAGTATTATTCGCTCATGATACTAGATAAAGAAATTGTCATTAATAAACCAGAAACCGTGTGGAATGGAATAACTAACTAATTTTTCTCATATTTCTCTTTTTTAGTAAAATTTGATCGAAAGTATACATCTTATTCTCTACTAAAGTGTATTTTTCTTATCTTGGCTACATAATCGTACAACATAGCTTTCTTGTTGAAGCTTTTTTTCTCCAAAATTTAATTTAAAATTGAGATTACCTCAAGGATTAGCTCTCTACTCTAATCTATATGATCTTTTAATCTTGTATCTTATTTTAATTTTCAAATGAACATGACATTAATTTTTATACTGATGATAGTGGAGAAGCTATAGTATCTCCTCTTAGAATGTTTTTTCGAGAATTTCTTAATTGACTCAAGCAAAAACAAGAGGTTAATTATTGTTTAATTCTCTTTTAGTTCATTGCAAAACATGGCTTGTTGATTTAAAACCTGCAGAAACAGTTAACCAGCTTTTGGAATCTCAAACTGGCATTGTAGATCCAATACTTTTTTTATGAAACATATCGCTTATTGAGTGATAAGAATTTTCAATGTCTTGACAATAAAATTATTCCTCAAGTTTCTTGTGGATCTTTTTTTAACTCATATTTTGACTAACATTCGATCGCGAACTCCCATGTTTAAAGTCTTATTGAATCACGAACAGCGAATAGCTATTCAATTACGTCGTCAATTTTTTTTTAATGTTAATTTTTCCTTTTTTTTCTTGAGATATCAAAATTTTACTAATTTTTCAAGAAAAAGCT